AGTGCCCCGCGCAGCCGCGCGCAGACCGACCGGCGCCCCTCGGGGACCAGGCCCTCGAGCGCCCAGACTTCCCCCGGCAGGTCACTCTTAGCTCGGCAGGAGCTCCTTCGCAACAACCCCGACGCGCATGCCCTGGCCCGGCTCCAGCTGCTGAAGCAGGCGATGCGCCAGGCGGAGCTGGCCCTGGCTTCCAAGGTGGGTTCCGCTCCCCCGGCGGAGCTGCTGGATCACCGCATCGGCGCGTGCGTGAAATTCCTCGGGGCTTCGGAGGCTTGCAGTCAGGAGCGTATTTCCCGATGCGTCGAGCGGTATCCGCTGTTGCGGGATATGGTTGCGAATCCTTACGACTTCACGTCCCCGCCAGGCCCTCGGCTTGCGCGGGCGCGTAGTCATGCGATGGAGTTGCAGCGAGATTCTACCATGCAGGAGCTGAACAATCTGCACGAGGACCTCCGCGAACTGGAGCCGGCCCAAGCAGCGCGCAGGCAGCGGCGAAACCAGCAGCTGGTCTGCAAGCTCACGCCGGGACGCAGCTGTCAGCATTTCGCGCTGGACGCGCCTTCTGGGGAGGCGACGACGGACCCCCAGGAGATGCTCGGCATTCTTCGCGACCGTTGGTCCGAGGTCTTCCTCCAGAAGGACGTGGACACATCCTTCCTGGACACTTGGTTGCGAGAAGATGCGCAACACCTCCCAGCCGACTACATCGACCACCTGCTCCACCTCGCTGCGCCGCGTCGTGCATTCCGGCAGGCGATTCGCAAGTCGGGGAACTCTGCGCCAGGCCGGGATGGCATCTCCTTCAAGGCGTGGCGTAAGATAGTGGACTTAGCCACCGACGCTTTCCACGATGCGTTCGAGGCGATGATCGCCCCCTCAGGGCTCGGCATGGCCCAGGAGGCGTGGCGCGATTTCCACGAGAGTGTCATGGTATTCTTACCGAAGACGCCCACTTCGACGCGCGCAGATGGCCCTGTGGTCTACCCTGCAAGCAACATGCGGCCACTTAACCTCACCAATACCGACAACCGCATCCTTCGCAGCGCAGTGCGCCTGCGCGTCGAGCCGCTGGTCGAGACCGGATTTCCCCGGAACAGCGCGGCTTCCCGGGCGGGCGGTCCACGCTGGCCAACGTCATCGACATCGAGGAGGAGATGCTGGCAGACGCGTACCTCGAGGACTTCCCCCTGGCGGTATTCCTGGACTTCGAGGCGGCGTTCCCGAGCCTCGACCAGACCTTCCTCCAGCGAGTCCAGGCGGAACGGGGATGGCCCTTATGGTTCCGGCGTTTCGTGGCCATCTTCTACACCAACAACTTCTGCCAGTTTTCCCTCTGTGGGTTCACAGACGCCGGCTTTGGCATTATACCGCTGGGGTTCGACAGGGCTGCCCTCAATCTCCCCTACTGTTCGCCATACTCTAGGACGATGTGTTGCGACGCAATCGCCGCCTCTGCCCGGGCGCGGCCCCGCGCGCGCACGCGGACGACGTGGCCCGTGTCCTCCGCCGGGGCCCCGCAGACTGCGAACTGCTAGAGCCGATCTTCTACGAATGCGGGCTTGTCTCTGGCCTTCGTCTGCACAGCGGCAAATCCATTAGTGTACCGCTCTCTCTGCGCACGCACGAGCAGGTGCGTGTTGCTGTCGCCGCAGCGGCGGCCCGGTGGGGCGCCTTCGCCATCTCGAGTCACGCGAAGTACCTCGGCTATTGGCTGGGCCCCACCCGGGGGGTGCGCCTCTGGGATGAGGTGTTCAAGAAGATGCAGGACCGCGCGTGGACGTGGAACAAGATCGGCGGGGGCTTGCTCGTGACGCTGGCAGCATACCGCATGCACATCCTGCCCCGCGCGGGTTTTGCAGCGCAGCTGGACCGGTTCCCCCCGCACTGGCAGCAAACAGAGCAACGGCTCCTCGCGGCTCTCTTCCCTGGAGCCCGGGGGTTGGGCCAACCCATGTCTTCTCCAGCACCTCCGGAGATTGGGATTCGCTGCTGAGCTCCCCAGCGCGGAGGCCATGGCGCAGGGAGCCAAATGTCGGGTTTATCGTTGGGAAAACATTACGCGTGGCGGCCTGCGAATTACCCGTCGTGCTCGGCGTCTGCAACGCGCCCGCTCCTCTTCGGACCACTTGCAGCGCCTCGCCGCTTGGGCCCACTGGTTCGACGGCAACTTCATCAGCACTGTCCTCGAGGCGCAGCGCCGGCTCGAAACGGCTGCGACGACCCAGGGGCTCTCCGCGGACTTGCTGCTGCAGGGTTCTTCCACCACCCCCACCCCGAAGTAGCGACGGCAGCGCAGATGTGGAGAAATACTCGGCGCTCGTGACACGGAGGGTCTCTTCTGGCACCTGTGCCGCAGACTGGACTGGCTGCCTTTGCTCACTCTGCTGGGGCGCCGGGTGCAGCACTTCGAAGCTACACTTTGCCGCCGTGGGCCAATGCTACCGCATTACGTGCGGGCTGCTGTGCTCAAAGCGCTTCTGGATGGTGGGCTGCTGTGCTCAAAGCGCTTCTGGCTGGTTGGGCCAACGAACCAGCGTCGCCGTGCCTCTTCGGCTGCCAACATGACACTACGCCTACTGTCCCGTCGTGGCGCGTTCTACCGCACGCAGGTGTGCCTCCAGCAGGGCCCCCTGGCATCGCGGCTGGACGAGTTCCTCTTGATGGACGGGGCGCCGCCGCGCACGTTTGCCCTCCGCGCTCTCGGTCTGTGCGCGACCTTCAGGGCCACCAACGCAGCACGGCACGGGCAGGCCTCCGCCACGGGCGCTTGGCCGCAGGCGCTGGCAGACGGCGTGGCCTTCCGCGCTCCGCTGACCGAGCACTTCGCCAACAGGGCCCGCTCGGGCAGCAGCTTCGCGCGCAGCATCCTCTACTTCAACGTCTGACGGCGGTCGTGACAAGGCCTTTCTCCACCCGCCTCCGCGCCTCCCCTCCCTGCTCTTGCGGTGTACTCCCCCACATCATCGCCTATTCTGTCCTTGTGTATGCTCCCCCCGAGCCCGGGGCCATTGCCCAGTTTTTCTTTTCTCTTGTGCTGGTGGTTTCGCACGCGCGGTTTCCTTGACAGCCCCCGGCGTCCGCCGGACAACAAGAAGGGTTGCGACCAGCTCTCTTCCCCCTCCCTCTCCCTCCCCCTCTTCCTCCCCTCCTTCCTCCCTCTTTTTTGTCTGGTCTATTAATCGTAATATGATTCAGTGCGCTGAGCGTGCACTCGTTCATCCTCTCTTTATGTTCCGTTGGATTCGTGGTCGCTCATGGTCCCGACTTGGGGATCTTAGGCTTCAGTTGTGCACCACCATTTCGTGAATGTTCCTTCTTCTGTACGTGCTCGAGGATACGACTTTGGGGCATTCCGTATCTGCCCCCTCCTATCCGCTCCCCCCGTCCTCCCTTCTTGTCCTCCTCTTCCTTCCGCACCAGCGGGCCGTAATTCGTGACATTTTCGTTGCGTGCCCCCGCTTCTGTAGGGTAGCGCCACTTGTTTCCTCTCTCGTCGTCCTCCTCTCCTCCCTCCTCTGCGCCCCTCGCCTCCTCCTCCCTTCCAGTGTTCTTGCAGGTGGGCCCGAGGCTTTGCTTAGCATCCTTTGTCCGTCCCCTAGCGGGGTCGGGACTGCCCTCCCCTTTTTTCCTCTCCCTCTTCCGTTCCTTCCTCCTCCTCCTCCTCCTCCTCGTCCTCCTTGCTTCCCTTGCCCCTCTTCTCTTCTCGCCCGTGCTTTTTACTTCTGGGATGTTATTGTAATTTAAGCAACTGGCCTCTGCTGCGGATCGACACGGAGTGCACGGGTTACTCGATTGGTGTTGCGGTCGTCCCTTCCCTCATGCCCCTCCTTCTTCTCCCAAACATTGCGCTGGAAAAAACACAGGGAGGAAAAATAGGAGGAGGAGGAGGAGGAGGAGGAGGAAGGAGGAGAGTTCCCCCCGGTGACGTTCTTCCCGCCATCAGAGGAGACACAGGGACCACCGCCACAGAGCCCGTCGGGGCCGACCCCTGGGCGGCGGCACGCCTGGTCGTCGTCCTGTCCTGGGTGACGCTCGGGCATGCCACCGCCCAGGGGTCGCTTCCCACCCCCCCGATGGGCTCTCAGTGGCGGTGGTCCCTGCTCTAGGGAGTGGGTCACATGCCTCGGGCAGCCTCACCCCGAGCGGGGCCGCCGCCAGACACGTTTCTCGATGCGTGGTCGCTCCTGGCGCCAAGAGGCCACAGGAAAATAAGCTGCGTGCAGCTGATTCGCAAGCCGCCCTGTACTACGAACCCCCCTTTGGGTCCGCCACGATAGGAGGAAGGAGAGAGAGGGAGGACAGGGAGGAAGAGGAGGGAGGACGAGGAGGAGGAGGAGGAGGAAAAGGAGGGTCCAGACTACACCCACAATGCATCAGTTATGCTGCAAGGTACGCTCCTGTTCCAAATGTCCTCCTAAAGAGTCCAAACTTGTTTTCTCACATTGACAGGAAGCACCCGTTTTCATGGATAACTATACAACACACATCATGGGCCCGCAATTCGGGCGAGAGTCCCGTTCCGAAAAAGGCGCTGCCCTGCATCCTTCTAGCGATAAGGAACGCGACGAGGCAGGATCAGAATGCTTAAGGGTGTGTCCAATGCGAGCCGCGAGACACGGAGCGGCCTTCAGTCCGTGTAACTGTTGCACAAACTTGCGCGTTTTGTCATCATCGTGGAAGGCGTGTGCTCCTGGATTTCTAAAGTTGCTGCTTCTGGCAGCGACCTCAAGCGAGGTCAGGTGTCATGTGGCGTGTAACTGGCGCGATCTCGCACACTGCTCCCTCCCCCACGAGGCCAGAGCAGGACAGCAACACCAGGAGGACACAGGGTCTACAGTCTCGTGCCGCTCCCCTCCCCGTCGTAGCCTGCATTGGGCAAGTCGCGCTGGGCAGTTGTAAGAGAAAGGGCGTGCCCCCGAGACCAGAACCCTACCATCTCGAAGGACATGCCTAATGGCGATCCATGCACCCTCAGGCAAGCTTGGCCAGTGCTCCTCCGTAAGTAGCCATTCTGGCTCAAGCTCCAGGGACGCCGGTCCCTGGCTCTCCAGTTCCGGCCGCGCGCGGTGGCCAGGCGTGCTCCGGGTTCCCGCCTGCTCGGCGTGGGTTCCATGCCGAGCCCATGGTGCGCGGAAGCGCGGGAGGCCCCCGAGGCCCCAGAGCAGACGGCTGCCGCCGGCCTGCGGGCCGAAGAGGCGGTAGCCTGGCTCCGGTGGCGGCTTGACGCCGAGCGCCAGGAGCTGCTGGGGCGCCACGGTGCGCTGCTCACGGGCCTCGCCCAAGTCCTCGGGCAGGACGCCCGCACCGAGGGCGCTGCGGCCGCGGCGTCGCCGGCACAGTCCGGGGTCGGCGCAGCCATGGGCCGCGAGGAGGAGGTCCCAGCGGTCGTCGCCTGCGGTGTGAGGGCCAGCACGCTCAGCAGGCCAGGAGGAGACCCCCCGCGGCTGCTGCCATGGACCACGGCAGACGGCAGCCGCCTGGGCCTGGCTGAGAGCTCGGGCGCGAGGAGCACCGCGGAGCTCACCTCGATCGCCCTGCGAGAGCGCGGGCTGGACACGAGCGCGTCCCCCTCGATGGTGCCGGCCAGCTCAAACGGCGGCAGCAGCACGAGGTCAAAGGAGGTCACCCAGATGAGGACCACGGCAGAGATCACTAGTCACACATTGCGAGACCGCGGGTTAAATTCGGCTCTCGACAGGATCAACAGGCAGGTTCGCATCTCGCAGCAGCCCCGTGAACGTACCGACCGCACCTTCCGATCGAAAGTTGCTGTGGTGCAGCGCGCTGCTGACAGGGGCACTAGGAACCCCTGGTTCGATTACTGCATGTCTGTCATCATAATCGCAAACTGTATGGTTATCGGGCTTGAGATCCAAATGGGCAGCGACAGCGAAGCAGAACCGTCTCCAACGTTTCAAGCGCTCGAGAATGTTTTTCTGGTGACATATGTGTTAGAGCTTTCGATGCGCATCATAGGTGACTGGTCAGGTTGCCTCGGGAGCTTGTGGTTTCGGATAGACCTCGCCCTCGTCGCCTTTGGCGTGCTGACGACATGGGTGATGGAGCCGCTTCTTCGCAGAATAGGCGCCATCGGTGTCCTCAAGAAGGTGTTGGTCATTCGCATTCTGCGACTGCTGCGCCTGGTGCGTGCCCTCCGCTTTCTGAGGATGATGCGGCCGCTGTGGGCGCTGGTCAAAAGCCTGGCGGGGGCAAATGGCCCAGTAATGTCGGGCCTGGTGCTGCTGCTCGGGGCCAAGTACGTGTTCGCGTGTGTCGGGGTGGTCCTCATCGGTAGCGACCAGGACTTGCTCTCCGACCCCGTGGCCGGGCCCATCGTGGCAGATCATTTCGGGTCGATCCCAGTGTTGATGTTGACGCTGACGCGGTTCACTTTTTGCGACGCCATCGCCCAGATCTACGAACCTATAGTTCTCGCGAAGCCTGTCATGATATTATACTTTCTGCCGATCTTGCTCTTGGTGCCTATCGCGCTCATGAACCTGATCACAGCCGTGCATGTCAACCACGCCATCAAAGTTTCCACTCAAGACGCAGAATTGGAGCGCATCTCCCTGAAGGGCAGATTGCAGAGGCTGATACCACTTCTGTCCAAGATCTTCAGGCAGCTCGATGTCCACAACCAAGGGTTTGTTTCTTTCCACGAGATCGATCTAACGAATATGACTATGCCCTTGCCGCCCGAGGTACAGCGCGCGCTCAAGTCTTACAAACTTGAAGATTTCTTCAAGCTGCTCGACGCAGATGCGTCTGGACACATAACTCAATCGGAGTGGGTCGACGGCCTCTGCTGCTTGATTCTGGACGAAGTGCCAATCGAGACCATGCAGATGCTGCACATGCTCAATCGGCTGGATAATAATATTGAGGTCCTTAGGTGTGCCTTGCTTGATGCTGGACACGGTGTAACGGCCGCTGATGGACGGTAATTCGGTCAGTGTCCCAACAGGGCGCCGTTCGAGACCTCATTAGTAGCTGTTCGCATTGGGCCGTTCATGCCCTGAGATTAAGCTGATCCTCACCATCGTCCCCGAACGGCGCGAGTTGCTTGTGAACTCGACGTGTAGTGAATGCTTCGAGTGTTGAGCTGATCTTAGGGCACAGTCCCGATAAGCTTCTCTCTACCTGACAGCCTGTTCAGGCGCCCGCTTCTCACAGCTGGAGTTGTGGCCACAGACCTGATGTATTTTGGATTTCGCGGGTATTGACCTTGCGTATCCTCCAACTCTCTCTCTCTCTCGGATGCCGGCTTGCGCATATGCCTGAGCCGGTCAAACGCTTGTTGTTTCACCGATGCTTTTTTTGGATAAGGCCTGTGCAAATGCCTGGTCTGCAAATGCCCCTAATCATTGAAACACTCCTCTCGGCCCCTCGAGCCGTCGTGGACGGGGTACGTTGCATCTTCGGGGGACCTCGCCTGTCCCTAAAGTTGGTGCCGTTTCTTGTGCCCGACACGGGCTCGACGCGGATTTGGCGTGGATTCGACGCGGATTCGACACAGATGCGACACGGATCCGACCAGGCCGACATGGATTCGACACGGATTCGACAATATGGCAGCCACTTTTAAGCGTTCCGCTTGCATGGATGCGTTTATTTGTGCCCTGAACGCCCCTCGTGTTTCAGAAATTGCTGACCCAGCAGCCGTGTTCGTGGCCCGCTTGGGGGTCACTGCTCGGCGGCACCCCAAGCTTGCAGCGGCTTGGACTGAACGTCGCATGCTTTCCTCTCGGCGCCTGGCGGGGGGGGGGGCCCAGCATAGTGGAGCGCTGCCGCTGCGAGCGCCTGGCACTCCCCGCGGCAGGTGGGTGCTCGCAGATTTTGAGACGCAAACACCCCCCCGCCAGGACGAGAGCCGTACTGCTCGTCGCCGCAGACGATCGCTTGTAAAAACAATCAACACAACACCCAGCGAGGATTGGCTAACAAAAAGAGCCACCTAAAATAACACATCGTCCCCCCCCGCCAAGAGGCCGCCAAGATCGCCCTCAGAGCGCCCAAGAGGTCTCCAGGATAGCCCCAAGACGGCCCAAGAGGCCCCCAAGACGGCCCCAAGCAGGCCCAAGACAGCCCAAGACAGCCCAAGAGGCCTTCAAGACGCCAAAGATTTCCTCCAAGACGGCCCTGAAGCGCGCCAAGAAGCCCCCCCCCCCTGGGGGGCGGGGGGAGGGGCTGCCGCTTCCCTTTGGACATCGCGTAATGGGGGGCGATTAATGAGGGGAGGCAGCGAGGGCTGCAGAAAGGGGGTCCTTTAGGGCCCCTGAAGGCCTTTCGCAACTGGAAAGTGGTGTAGTTTCCCCCCCCATGTATCGCCTCCCCTGTGAGCGACGCCCAGTCCCTCCAGCTCCTTTCCTTCTCGTCCTCCTTGTGGGTCCTCCTCTCGCCTTTCAAATCCCCCCCCCAGGGAGCAAGAGGACATCGCCACCCCGCCCTTGTCATTCCCCTCCTTTTGCCACCACCATTGCAGATCTCCCAGTTTGACCCCCCCTCCCCGGAGGCGACCGCCCCTGTGGGGTGGACGTGGCAGCTCCGACCATCGGACCTGATGCCGTCAGTGCCCTGGGGGGGGGGCCTGGAACAGCGAGGGTGGTGGGGGGGCGCTCCATTTTGGCAATCGTCGCTCGGGTCGCGGGCTCCCTCCCCCGGCGATCCTGGGCCCCGAGCGGGCCCTGTGCGGGTCGCTTGCATCAATCGCCAGTTCGTCCATGTCAGCACGGCTCGTGCATATTACGGCGGCGAGCGAGGGAGGGAAATGAGAAGGAGAAGGCCTTCTCAGAAGGCTCGGAAAGTCCCACGGCCTTCTGAGAATTGTTCTAAGCCTTGCCCGAAGACAGAAAAACCTCTCAGAAGGCGCGAGGGCTTCTGAGAAGTCCCGCCGCCTTCTGAGAAGGCCTTCTCCTTCTCATTTCCCCCCCACCGCTCGCCGCCGAATATTATTGTTTGCTCTCTCTTCCCTTCTATTTGTCTTTCTTTCTCTCTCTCTCTCTCTCCCCCTATCCCTCCCTGGCCTCGGCGCAAGGGATCCTAATGCTCCCAGGAGCTACGCTGCCCGCCCCCCCGAGGTCCTTAATTCCTGTTGGTGAGGCTAGGGTCCTTGCAGCACACGGATACCGACCCGCACCATCTTCTCCCACTTTTCATTCGCCGCGGCAGCCATGAACAAGGGGCCGTCCCGCGACGAATACGGCTCCTCTGACAAAGGGCCCACGCCCCGTTGGACAGACTTTCGTGTCTGCACGCAAAGACGCGTGCAGTGCTGCATTCCGTGCACGTGGCACCGAAAACGCCCCACGTTCGCCACCAGAGTCCCCGACGAGCTCGCAACGGTTTTTCGCACCATACACAAGGATATGAACCAGCCCCGTACCAGCCTCCACTGCTGGTATGGCCAACGTGAGATCAGTCGGACTCTAGGGCACAATCGGCGCACCAACGACCCCCCACGGGTTTGGCGCCGACCCAATCCCGGGGCTGAGGTGCTGCAGACGCTGCGGGGGCACCATGCCTCAGCCTCGACTCGAACGACTGGTCAGTCCCAGCCTCAGCTCGCCCGGCGCGCAACACAGCGGGCGACGCTTGCATCACCAGCATCTCGCCCCACGGCCACGATGACGGTGAATAGCTGCTTCTGCAATTACGCCGACAGGATATCCCATTTGCCGTGATTGTCTTCGGCCCTCAGAACACTGACTACAAGCGCGGAGATGGTCGTCCTGTCCTGCGCCGAGTGCCTCAAGCTACCAACCGTGCCATCCCACGTGGACGGCGCCCTATGCCAATTCGGCGGAATAGAGGTTGTTTGCCGACAACACAGAGCCGAGGTCGTCCTCGACACCTCCCAGGCCATCACCTGGATCCAGGCGGCCGTCCACGACGGGAATGCTGTTCACGCTCTTCGCAACAGTTTTCACGCCGTTGACAAAACAGTTCTTGTGTCGCACAGATCAATGGAGCACGGTGCAGCAAAACCCGACGCTGGTGG